CAAAGCTGCTACTATTCTTCTATTATTATTATTATTATTATTATTATTATTATTATTATTATTATTATTACTGCCTTTTTGTACCAAACCAATGCAAGAAAGCGAGCAAATGCTAAAGTGTGATTGCAGTATATATTTTGTGAAATACTTGTACAGCTTAATGTGCAATAAAAAAGTTACATCCGTCTTCAGTGTAGTTTCTAGCACACGATTTCCCCAAGGGAAAAAATATTTTATACTCAGCAAAGAATATTTAAGCAAGTAAAGTATGGACTTTTTAGCCTAAAAAATGCAGCTCAAATTCAGAATCTCTCAATCTGCTATAAACTGAATCTGAAGCTCTTGACCATATTTAGTTAAACACATCAACCCTGTTCACGTGGCATGTAGTTAATAACATGATGGGCTGGGATCACTTCTGCATCTACCTGTGACTAGCATAAATTCAGTGATGGTTATGAACAGGCATTTACGCATATAACTTTTGGCAGGGTCCCAGGTCACACATACAGTGTGAACACATGTAGAGCTTGGTTGTTTTCTTGGAGATGTTTCGTGACCCCGCTAGGTAACTTCTTCAGTGTCTAGCCGAGTAACGAAACATCTGCAAGAAAACAACCAAGCTCAGAGAACCCCAAGGGCTCCACATGTAGCGTTCTTCACAGGCTCTATTGAAGAAATGTAAATTAGGAACAGGAATAGTTGTAATCCTTCCTCTTCCACACATTTTGCTATTGCATGAACAAGGGTATATAACTAGCTGTGGTGTTTTAAGAAATGCACCAAGAACAAATTGTGGCCAAGTTTCCAACATGTGGAAAGTTAGGTAAAAACCTGTTTTGTTATTATGAAGAATGTAAATATCATTAGAACTTTTCTGAAATAAGTGCATTTATGCATCCAGTTTAGAAGAGAAAATACAAATTCTCACACAGCAATTTATTTTAAAAAATAGTGTTTCTGTGCCTCATATTTTTAAATGGTCACTATTGAAAGCATGGTATCAATTTTGCTTCATCTGCATAATCCTACCTCATTGATTCTCTTAATTAGCTAAATAGACCTAATGTGTATTTGGCCTTTATTCAGAGGAATGGAGGTTTTAGACATTTTGGCATGAAAGAGAAAAAGATTTTGCAAGACCTCCGAATTCTTCATAGACCTTCTAGTTGAGAGTACACATGTACAGTATCCCTGTTATTAACAAAGTCACAGGGTGCTGAAGGAGTGTTTTGGGAATGTATTTTTCATCTTGAAACTATCAACCTTGAGGGGTGATGCAGCATCATTCTAACGGACTGATAATCAGCTGAGTTGATTTCACAAATTAAAGTCTGTGACATTTGCCCACGTTATACCAAGTGGGAAAATACATTATATATGAATGTCTGTAAAGTGCAAAAATAGTAGCCTTTCCCTATCCAGACTATTGCATACACTCTGTAGCATGCATGGATTTTTTTCCATGAATGGGCCTAGCCATCACTTCATTAAAGATGTCAGTCCTTAGCTTGCATCTCTCTGTATGCCCAGACCTCTCTCCACCCTCTGAACTAAATGGAGAAGCAAAGGCTGGGATCAAAGTCTCTAAGAAGGTTTGCATGATGCTCTTACAGAGGCCTAGGATGTTTTCATGTCATATCACAGATTAAAATTTTTATGTGGTGGGGGAAGTCCTCAAGAAAAACAATTCTAAAACCCTTCGGACTCACATAATTAATTTCAAGAGACTGAATTTGGGCTAAAGAACTCTGTGATAGCAGTGCTGGTAGAGTACTGTGTTCTGATACAGTTCTGAAGGCAAGTTATTCTAAGCAAGCATTTGCTGGAATGATACATTTTAAGATCAAGCATCAGAGATTTAAATGCAGCCTCTTTGGATCCAATTGTCAGACCCTTCAATCTCCGCTAAGACTCCATAGGTCCCAGTCCAAGTTGACTGCCTTAGCTTGGATACAGATTTGACGGTAGTGAAATCCATTGTGTTCATAGTTGATAGAAGTAGAACAGCCATACACTAAGGAAGATGGGGGGTTTTCACTGGAAAAAAACCACCAACTGCAGCTGAATCTACAACTCAGTCTTGATTAGCTGTCGCTTACAAAATATGGAGCTGCTTCAGGGATGATGTTGCAAGGCCCGAGTATGTTAATTGCTTAGTAGTTGGCTCAAGTAGGTGCCTGTTTTATGTTTTTCACAGTAGGGCATTTTTAAAACATAACAGCCCCCTCCCCCATTTAAGGCAAAATAAAAAAGGCAACTAACTTGAACTAATATTGTTAATAAACCACAGTGCTGTGATATATAGATATCCAAAACAATCAGATTCCTTCTAGTTGTTAACTTCCACTGTGTTCAGTCTGTAATGGAGCAATCTGGGAAATGTCTTACTTATCAGGAACCTGAGAACTGAAATGGAGAAATGCTATAATTAATGCAGCTTAGTCTGGCCCAGCCTTATCCAACCTGATACCTTCCAGATGCAGTGGACATCAACTCCCATCATTCCTCTCAGTGTGACAATGTTACCTGGGGGGTGATAGGAATTATAGTTCAGTACATCTGTCTGGCATCAGTTTAAGGGTGTGTAAATTATCTCCCAGCCTCTCTTGCCATCAGCCATAAAAATTTCTGCTGTCACAAGCTGACATCCAGTGCTATTAAGGACCCTTAGGCTGCCCCTCTCTGACTTAGATAATTATTACAGGTAGTCCTCATTTAGCGACTGTCTTGTTTAGTGACCATTTGCAGTTACAACAGTGATGAAAAAGTAACTTTGCAACCAATCCTTGCGTTTATTACCTTGACAGGTCTGTAAAGGAAAGGAAAGCTGAAGTAAGATCATAAGCACAGTTGTGGTTTCACTTAGCAACCGCTTTGCTTAACGACCGAGTTGCCAGTCTCAATTGTGGTCGCTAAACGAAGACTACCTATATTTTGTCAATTCCCTAAAAAGAACAGATGCAATTACTAAAGCAGTGAATTTTCAAAGGCTGTTTTAGTGTGGACGTGAAGGTTTGCAATTTATATTTATGTAGAATTGTAATTCATGATCATGATAACCAAATATTCTAACCCCACTAAACTTTTCTGGTGCCAGGTTGATATTAAGTGTTGGTTGTAAGAGCTACTACAAAATTACTGATGCATTATGAAGTTTTTCTTGTGCTGAACCTAGGGGGCCCAGTGCAACCCCAAGGAATGCAATCCCAAAGCCAGGAGCCATTGCAACCACCACAAGGGTTCCCTCCGGGGCATTCAGCAAAGCCCTCCGGTTCTCTGCCTCCACGTCCACCTGGCCCTGCAACTCAGCCACCACGTGCCCAGGCCTCAGGCCCTTCAAGTGCCGGGCCTCCAGCAGACACGAAGACTGAGCCCTCGCCAGCCTCGGCCCAGAAGCCTCAGTCACATCCTCAACTGAAGTAAGGCCTTCTTGTCGTTTTCTCCTCTTGTTTTGTAATGCTTCTCTTGCCAAGAGAGGTTTCAGTGCAACATAGGCAGATAAAGGGGTAGAAAACTCCTTTCTCTTTGTGACAGTTTTGTATCCGTTTCACCTGGAACAGAAATTTTTTGAACAAAGACATCTCCAAATCTGCCGAAAAAGCAAATTTCATGGAATAAGTGTAGGTTTGAGTTTGTGTCGTCCTCTCCTTCTTTCCATTACTTCAAAAGGCATTGATCACCTTTGGTTGTGCTGTCTATAAAAGAGAGAGAAAGCCTTATCTACTTAAACTTTTAACCTTGCAGCCGCTCAGACAAGAAAGATTGGAAAAACCATGGAATGTTTTCCTGTCAAAAGATGTTTTCCACTAAGGCTATAGGTAGATAGACATTCATTCATTAAGCATCTATTCCGTTCTGTGAATCAGAGTTCAGACAGTGAGTCCAAGTCCGTTAGCGGTAGAGCTCATTTTCATATTCTATACTTGGTTTGTTAGGTGCAATCTATTCTAACGGTAGCCTTTGATTTTAATTTTTGTTGAATTCACCATTTTAAAGCATGGCTGAAGATGGCTATTTGCTTATTTACATATAATCTGAGTCTTTTGTCTGCTTTGAAGGTTAATATACCACATTCCATTTCTGTTTCAAATATTCAAATTCCTTTGAACGTAGTTTCTCTACCCAAGAGTAGACTGCTTAACTATTTAGAGGTAGAAAGAGTTCCTGCTGCCTTCATTATCAAAATGCATGTCAGTAGCAAGGAATGGTAATATGCCAGAATATTTGCAAAAACTTTGTCTGATAGTTTACAGACTTAAACTTTATAATAATGCTTACATAATTCACTTTTTTTGTGAAGGTGACAGAAGGTAGATCACAAAAAAGAATATATATTTTTAAAAAATACAGCACAGACAGATGTGATAAAACAATAAATCCTAAATGGCTGTAACTATGTACCATTTAGTTCCGCGTCTAAAAGAAAGATTCAGATTACTATTCATTTTTATTATTTCGACCATATACTTTTCCTGGAAGAGGTAGAAATGTAAAACTCATTTAATTTAAAATAAACTAAATGAGTCAGTTTGGGATACTGGTGAAGGTTTTGGATTAGACGAAATCCACCCTCAGCCACAGAAGCTCAACAGGTGACTTTGGGCCAATCATTCTCACTCAGCCCAACCTACCTCACAGGGTTGTTGTTGAGGGGCAGTTAGGAAGTGGGAGCATGATGTATGGCACCTTAAGCTCATGTACAAAAGGTGGGATATAAATCTAGTAAATAAATAAATAAACTGGAAAATAGCAAGGGAAGAAATATTGCCTCCTGCTGCTCTCATGCAGGTCTCCGTCTCCAGTTATTTTTTTAAAATGTAACACGTGTTCAGGGATCTCCCATATTTCTCTCCCTGTTAATGACTGTAGACAAAATGGCTTAGGTGCCTAAAGTTAACTTTTAGAAGTTTACGAAAAGAACATTTCCCGTGCTCTCATCCCTCAGGAGCTTGTAGACGATACCACATCTCACCCCACGCAGATTCGGAGGTGCACTGAAAAATAACACTGACCAGAAATATATGCTTAGGTGTGTTTCCATACTATACTATATGCGGAGGTATAAATCTGTCTTCCCCAACATGGTGCTTCAAGATATATTGAACTTCAGTTCATTGCACCACTTTGAGAACTTTGCTATAGATGCATACTGTACTAAAAGATTCACCTGCTGTATGCCTTGCTGCACACATCAAAACTATATGGACATATGCAATGAAAACTTCAGTTCAATATATGCAAGGTAAGGCTTTCATTAGCTCCAAATGTATGGCTGTATAATCATAGGAAAATGAAAGTATAATAATTAAACGGACTAAATACTTCTGAATGCTAATAGTGACTTTTTTGTAGAGCTGTATAAAAGACTTGCTCATTCCATGAGCAGAGCTGACTTCCTCAAAGCATTAAAGAGGTCATATCCTTCAGAAAGCTGTGCTGGGAGCTTCCCCAGCTGTCTGCACTCCTTTGTGCCCACATAGACACTTCATTTCACTGAGAGTCCCACAGCTCACCCATTGAAGTGTGTTGTGTGTGCGTGCAGGGAAGATATTTGGAGCAGTCTTCTGGAGGGCCTGGCTGTATTAATGTTTTGAGGAGAGGCACTTTGCTCATGCAGTGTTTGTTGGACAGCCCTAATATTTTGTTGCCCTCTTTCTTGGCACTTTTATTAAGAACTATAAGAAGCAGACCTTGGCTGATCTCAAAAAAGCTTAGCAAGGTTGGACCTAGTTAGTACTTAGATAGGAGACCAGAAAAAACTCTCAGGGTTATGGACCAGAACAGAAAGTTGAAAAACATATTCTGGAAGAAGTCAGTGATGAACAGAAAACAACATGGAAACATGTATGTAGTCACCTGCAGTTGAGCTCAACTTAGGGAGACTTTGCCTTCCCTTTTATTCAAATCTAACTTTTCTTTCCAGTTTGCTGCTTATTCCAGTCCTAAACAATTGGGCCAGATTAATGTTTATATAAATGTTAGTGGATCATCATGATCTGTGATGCTGCCCTTTTAAGTGACATTAGCGTGGCCTGTCCAAACCAATTTTTCCTAGCACGGGACTTCTTAGGGCTATTCCTTAACATTTGAAAGCTATATGCACATAGTTTTAAAGCATCCTGGATGGCTCAGATCTCAAGTTACAGATTTATTCTAATTCACATTTCGATTCCCCCCGCCTCCAAATCTTACAAAGAAAAAAAAAAGCATAACCAAATTGCCAATGGGATTAACTGTACTCAGTGACTGAGGCATAAACGTGCCTTGCATTCTCACCCACGTGCTCTGGCTTAACATGTGCATGCAGGTTACTAGCCTGTGCATAAATATTTAATTAAGCCATTTATGTTTTATTTTCTAATCAAGTAAAGAACTGTTTTATCTTTCCACCCTCTCCCTTCAGTGACCAACCCAGGTACAGTGAAAATGAAAGACTGTACACACATATAATACTGCTTGCTCTGATTTTCTGGAAAAGGTGTACACTGAAAGTGATTGGTTTGGGATAAAGCCTACCATAAAAAGCACAAAATGGTACAATTTTCCTTTTTTTAAGAGAAACATATTTAGAATGTATAAGATTTTAAAAAATGAATAGAATTTACTACCATTCAACTATTTGCTTCCTTCCATTCAGCCCACTCCTACTTTCCCTGTATTTATTTATTTATTTATTTACTTACTTACTTACTTACTTACTTACTTACTTACTATTAATTCAATGTTATATGCCACCCATCTCAATCATATGACTCTGGGCAGCTAACAGGGAATAAAACCAAGATCAAAATATCATAACAAAACAATAAATAACAATGATAGGAGCCAAGATAAAGCCAAACAACACAATCAACACAACCACAATATGAGCTCAACCACACACCCCAGGCTCAACAATAGAACCAGGTCTTTAGTGCCTTACAGCATTGAGGCACGTCTAATCGCCGGCTGGCCCCATGACAGAAAAGGCTGTCCTCCAGAAGTGGAGAGACTTCTGAGTTTAGATATGCTTTGCCTCGGACATTTGTTTTGTTTCTCAAGTCAAGACTAACAATTGTGCACATCTGTTCAAACAGTGACGTCTGGGTATTGCCAGTTGTATGTCCTGCTCCTATTATATGTAATCCTAAATTGAATTTTGAAGGGGGGGCTGCATAATGAACAACAAAAAATATCTGTATGTAAGCTTCAGGTGTGCATAACATTCATATGTGTGAGTTTTTGTCTTTGTCTTGCAGCAAATCACAATCTCTGACAAATGCCTTCAACTTCACGGAGTCATCATTCTTCCGATCATCTGTGAATGAGGATGAAGCAAAAGCTGAAACCATCCGAAACTTAAGAAAATCTTTTGCCAGCCTCTTTTCAGATTAGCCATGGCATAACTTGGTTTTGTATATCCATCAAATGTGTGAAAGTCTCTTGTGAATATCATTTCACAAACACAATTTCTTTATGAATGACCCTCCTTTGCTGTCTCAGCTGTTGTATTAAGCAATATGTTATGCTCTTTTTAAAAAGGGACTATAATGCGTTAACACTTCAGGTATCTAAAAAACGCCACTTTAAAAAAAGCCAAGAGGAAAAGCTATACAGCCGAATGCTTGCAGTCCTCATTAACTGTGATATCGTGGCCTTACCGCCAAATGCACTTGATCACCCCATTGGACGCTCCATTGTGAAGTCATCAGAGCAACACACCATTAAGTTGCAAGTCTTCCCTTTGCCGCAGTTTTCTCTAGTACTCAGCTGCATGTCTGTTTCTTTAAGGTACTTTCTTCCGCAAAGGTACTTCTTTGAGACTCACTTTCTTGCCCTCCGATCTTTAGGATGCAGTTTCATAATTGTATTCTTGTTAATCGTCTTTCGCCTTGTTAGAAACTTTAGGAAGCTTTCCATCAGCTAAATGCAGTTTTCCAATATGCTTTAAGAGCAAACTCTAGAATGAACCAATGTTAGAGCCCCGTGTGTGTCTATATTATTCTATCCTCATATATTTGTTGTGAAATTATTTGCAGCCTGTTAATAGTGACTTTTGCTTTGTGAAGTGTCATGCATGCCTTCATGTCACCATAGTTCCATATTACATTCTAATAAATGCAAAGCTGTACACCCAACAGGAAGTATGCTCCTACTGACTTCTCTGCACTGTGATGATAGCAGAGTGAGATCCGAAGCTTTATTTTTCTAATTTATCTAACTTCTAGTCAGACTGCATTACCAACAGACTAGGAAGAATCTCTCAAAAACACATTTTTTAAAGAGACCAAGCACTTCATTGATACATTTATTCCGATCAAATCTGTCTATAAATCCTGTCTTGCCTACAGAGAGGGATATCTTATAGAATGATTTATAGAATACCAGTTCCACCCAGGTCCAAGTTATATTTTGAAGAGCTGTATTCACATTTCCTAATTTTGCCTTTGCTCATGTTGGGAGACAGAATCTCTTTTCCTTTCCTGTTAAACTCATCCTGAATATTAGCATGCCTGGCCTTTATACTCTGCTCTGCAGGACCAAAATATTTTCA